AAAAAAAAAAGACATTATTTGTTCAATCCACCTTTTTTTCTTGTTTTTGTTTTTTTGTTGTTGTTGTTGAGACAGAGTTCCACCCTGTGCCCTGAGCAGAGTGCAATGGCGTCACAGGTCACTGCAACTTCAGACTTGGGCTGTGGGCATCCTGCTGCCTCAGCCTCTGAAACCACTGGGATTATAGGTGCTCACCCGGGCACCTGGCTGGGTTTTTCCATTTTTTTCACGAGTTGGGATCTCACTCCCACTCAGACAAGCCTCAAACTCCTGAGCTCAAGCAATCCTCACACCTCAGCTTCCTACAGTGCTGGGATTACAGGTGTTGAGCCACCACGCCCAGCCTTTTTTTATTGAGACAGTCTCACTCTGTTGCCCAGGCTAAAGGGCAGTGGGGTCAGCCTGGCTCACAGCAACCTCAAACTCCTGGGCTCAAAGCAATCCTCCTGCCTCCGCCCCCTCAGTAGTTTGGACTACAGGCTCCCACCCTAATCCCCCGCTTTTTTCTTTTTTTCTATTTTTAGTAGAGATGGAGTCTTGCTCAGGCTGGTCTTGGACTCCTAAGCTCAAGTAATCCTCCTGTCTTGGTCTCCCAGTGTGCTAGGACTACAAGCATTAGTCACTGTGCCTGGCCAAGAAACTATTTTTTTAAGCTGTGTACAAAGGTTTACATCCATAATCCCAGAACTTTGGAAGGCCAAGGCAGTTGGATCACTTGAAACCAGAAGCTAGAGACCAGCCTGGGTGACATAATGAGATTCTGTCTCTATTAAAAAAAAATAAATAAATAACTGTGCACACCTGTGGCCAGGGCGCCGGCCCCATATACCAGAGGTGGCAGGTTCAATCCTGGCTCTAGCCAAAAACTGGGAAAAAAAAAAAAAAAGGGAACAAAATTTTTAACAAAACATTTGGATTAAGTTAGGATAGTCATCTTTTAAAAATAAAATAGATTTCTGGGCAGTGCCTGTGGCTCAAAAGGGTAGGGTGCCGGCCCCATATGCTGGAGATGGCGGGTTCAAACCCAGCCCAGGCCAAAAACTGCAAAAAATAAAAAAATAAAAATAAAATAGATTTCTTTGCATTGACATCTTGGCTAAAATAAAAATAAAATAAGATGTTTATGTAAGTGCATTGAAAAAGGCCTAACCTAGGCTGGATGCAGTGGCTCACGCTTGTAATCCTAGCACTCTAGGAGGCCAAGGTGGGAAGACTGCTTAAGCTCATGAGTTAGAGACCAGCCTGAGCAAGAGTGAGACTCCATCTCTACTTAAAAAAAAAAAAAGGAGGCAAGATCACTTGAGCCCAAGAATTTGAGGTTGCTGTAAACTATAATGCCACAGCACTCTACCCAGGGCAACAGACAGAGACTCTGTCTCAAAGATAAAAAAGACCTAACCTCAGGAGAGAATGGGGAACATAGCAAAGCTTTATCTTTAGCTTTTACACTTCCATGCTGACTTGAAGTTAAGGAATCACTTTGGTAAGTCTGCCATGTGACTTAAAATTGTTGGTTTTCAAATAAGTCACATGGGGGAGAGAGGTGTGAGAGTAAGAAGAGTAAATGTTCCAAGAGACACATTTCTTACATGTCAGGAGGAAGCAGAGTCTTACAGATGATGGAAAGGAACCCACAGGCAAGGGTAGGGAAGTGACTGAGACCAAGGAGACCCCACCCCATTACCTAGTAGCATCCCAGGGATAGTGGAGAGGTCCACCTCCCAAGAAGTTTGGTGGTGAATGGCAGGCAGAAGGCTGGGTGGAAGTTGCAGGGAATGGAAGCACAGTGGAGGCTGAGGCAGATTGCTTGAGCTTAGAAGTTCAAGACCAGCCTGAGCAAGAGCGAGATTCCATCTCTACTAAAAATAAAAATAAAAATAAAACTAGCTGGGCATTATGTTGAGCGCCTGTAGTTCCAGCTACTCGGGAGTCTGAGGTAAGAGGATTACTCAAACCCAGGAGT